TACTTATATATTTTAATAGTCTAATTCTAATATTTTTATTAAGGCCTTAAACTAAAGGTCAAGGGAAGGCCTAGACCTTAGCAAGCCTACATAAATTAATAGCATGAATTTATTTAGATATTAGTAATCAAAGTAGGCCAGCTTGATTGTTGAAGCAGCCCTGTGCTTAACTTGGCTTAAGTTTTTAAAAAAGTATTGGCTTCTTTTGAACTTTCTTGAAGGTTCAAAACTCTCAGTGCAGTGGACCACAGACCACAGTGAATTTTTAAAACTGTATATACGAGGCCTCGTTTGAGCATATTGAATTCGGGATTTAAAAATTTTATAGAAACAATAATTATGTTGCATTATATACTTACTGGTAATATCGGGAAAACTCAAGACAGCTCGTAAACTATGCAGCTATATGTGTAAGTATAATAGCTTATAACTTGTAAGTTATAATCCAGTGTGTTCTGTGTAGTCGCTGTGTGTGGGCGTAATCGAATATGAAATATGGTATACTAATGCTCATAGAAATACTGTTATTTTAATTCCAATTACGCGTATTGAAAATAATTTTATTTAGTTATTTGCGCTTTTAAATTTTATTGATAAATGATTATCAGTATGATTTTTTGCATTAATAACCAAACATAACCTAGACGTTTGGGTACTTGGGGCACCAAAAAGCACTGGCACATGTTTGTCCCGTCCATCCTATTTAAATTAATTCGGAAAGGATTGTCGTTCTTAAAGTAGATTATAACAATTTCCAACTTAAATCTCAAATTCCCTTTTTTTCTTTTTTCTTTTCCAAATTACCGATAAATATTCCGCATCATTCTAACATTACTCGCATCCAATAATTTGTAATCATGTTTGTAAATAAGAATATCGCAAAAAATTTATTTATGTTGAAATTACTTAGATAAGAATCATGAAACTTAGAATCATCAATCAGTAGACAGGAAGCTACATAGAAACCTGTGAATATAGTATAGCGACCCTTTGGGGGTCGAACGACTCTTACACAGGGGTCGCCTTAAGACCATCGGAAAACACACATTTGTGACGTAGCAACGAAAATAAATTTATGGTTGGGGGGTCGCCACAACATGAGGAACGGTATTAAAGAGTCGCGGCATTAGGAAGGTTGAGAACCACTTGGCCAGCAGGTTCATCCAGAATGGTGATCATTGCCAGATTATGCACACTAATTTTAAGGCAGAAGACATACGCATTGAAAATAAGTATAAATGAGAAACAAAAAGTGAAAAAAGATTGACAAAGCATGCATGTACAATAACCACGGAACAATTAGGAAACTAAGTGGGATTTATGAATAAACATTCTTTGTGCAGTTCTCTTACAATTACATGTACATGTAGCCTACAGTTTTGTCCAATGGCAATTTGTTATGAGCATGCCGACAAAATATATTTCTGTGTCGCTATCTCGATCGCCTTGATTTCACGATGCGTTGGTGAAATGAACACAACATAGCCTCCTTTTTATTCTTCACAACCCTCAGTCTCGCAACAAATCTTCTGACACGCTATTTCATCATGAATTTAGCTACACGCAGCCGATTAGCGAAGAAGAAGGTCATCACCACACCCTGTTCATGGCAAAAATCGTTGCCAGCATGTGCTATTCATAGGAAAATACGATTTTGAACAATTTGCATTTGACAGGATTTGCGCTATTTCGAGTTTTAAACAAATTTTAAAAATCGATGTGTGTCGGTGGTGAGTTGTCGCATTATCCAGGAATAGCGCTATTTATAAGTTCCCTAATCACAGGTTTCCCTGTAAGACTGGTCACAACAAGCAAAGAGTAGGTAAGGGATGCCGTCTATTCAAGTTCTTATGTACAGCAAAAAACTTTGTTTCCGTTATGGTCATGTTATTGCCTTAAATCACAAATAATAAATCTCTAGCTATGTATGCATGTAGGCCTATGTACGTAGGCCTATGTATGTAGCCCTATGTATGTAGGCCCTATGTATGTAGCCCTATGTATGTAGGCCCTATGTATGTAGGCCCTATGTATGTAGGCCCTATGTATGTAGGTCTATGTATGTAGGCCCTATGTATGTAGGCCTATGTATGTCGGCCTATGTATGTAGGCCCTATGTATGTAGGCCTACATATTTATGGCTGTAACGCTGTGTTCAATAGGCGCACAAAAATAAAATTCTAACAAGTAACCACTAATTGTGATTCGTATAAACAGTGCTATTTTAGATGCAGTTTGTGTACAGTAACTTTAAGTAGATCTGAAGTTCACGCACTGCCTCCGCTGTTTATTTTTTTGTCAGGTTATTTTATTTTTAAAATCTAATGTGGAGAAAATATACCGGTATTCCTTTCTAGTCAGTGTCATCAGTTACAAGTAGCCAAAAAAATACTACGTAGTAGTGCATCGTATTCTTATTGGAATGTTCACCGAGTGTAGCAGTGCTACTGACCAAGAGGCGGGCGCAGTCCTGTGTGATTTGTCTCATTGTTTCTTGCAGGATCAATCGCAGACCTTAGACTTGTTGCAGAGTTTAGCATCTATATTGCTTGACAGTACAAGAATTGTATGTAGCCTATTCTTACACCAACTTCAGTGTGTTGCGTTGCCAGAGGCGTAGCATGGTGGGGGCAGGGGGGGACAGATTCCCCGGGAGCCAGCTAGTTAGGGGCGCCAAAATGTGCTTTGATATTATTTTATTGATGAAAATAATGGGTTTGAGAGTTAAAAAAAAGAAAAAGGAGCGCTTTAAAATGGATCTTGTCCCCGGGCGCGAATCTTGTCCCCGGGCGCCAACCACCCTCGCTACGCCACTGTGCGTTGCCATAATCACCGCCTCAGAATTCGGAACTCTCCTAAGAAGCAATAACAAACCTTATCACGTGATTGAAACTCGAGTCTCGAAATTAGGGATCAGTGTTTATATCAAAGACAGCCCCCGCCCCCTTTTTTTTTTCCAGTAGAGTAAGCCAAAATGATTAATACAGGGTATGCTAACATTTAAGAAAAAGGTTGGTTTTTTTTACAAACCCACCCCCAAAAAATAAAAATAAAATGTGCGCCCTGATTCAAGTGACACCCACCCTCCGTATGCCTCTCAATGTGCGCCCTGATTCAAGTGACACCCACCCTCCGTATGCCTCTCAATGAAATGGAAAAGTTTTGGAATTTAGGAACGTTGATTTTTTTCCCCCTTTACTTTTCAAGACGCATGATAATTTTAAACATTGACGAGTTCTTGTTTCATTTAACTCGAGAGCTGGTGTGCTCTTTAAGTCTGTAGAAGAAGTATAAAAAGGTAATATGAGGTGATGAGAAAAAACGGGGTTTTGGTCAGTTGTTCGTTACAATTTTGATTTTTGATTGTGTGATTAAACTCTATGGGTTTTGTGAATAGCGTGTGACATGCTTTGGTGTAATTAAATAGACGCGGAAGGAAAGGCAAATATGCTCAACATCATCATTATTAAATTTATTTTCTTTCATGAATTTAAAAAAAAAAAAATCTCCATTATACAAAACAGTAGATGTCTCACTAAATGTAAATAACATTATAGTTTTCCATAATTCCAAAAACTTGTATTTCTTTAAATAATTACACAGTTTTGGAGTTAACAGCCGAATTTTATCATTTTTACAGTGCAGCAATTAAAAGTCTGCTGAACTTCAGTACTACCTGCTGAAATACTGCTGATGGGGGATTATAAGTACTTAGACCTGCCAGCCGAATTTTTTTTTAAATTTCGGCTGGCTGACATATTTTTTTGGCTGATATCCGGATTTCTCCGTAAATTAACATTTGCGGCTGATTTTCGACTGATTACGAAATCTTCGGCTGAAGCCTGGCCAATAATGAAGTAATAAAACTTCAGCAATAAAACACTTTTACAATACTTCAGCAAAAGTTTTATTATTTCAAACAATAGAAAAAAAAAAAACAGTTTTATATTCTGCCCTGCAAATACAGTGCATGAATGCATTCCATTCATTCAGTTTCTGTCACTCAATACCCCATACCTTAAAACAGAACGCCATGAAATTTAAGAAAGCAAAAAAATTAGGTTACGGCGACTCGTTCATTTTTCGGCGGATTTACGGCGGACGAAATACGGCGGCTGATGCGGCGCGCGGCATATTTTCCGGCGGATTTTTGGCGGACGAAAATTCGGCGGCGTATTTGGCGCGCGGCGTCGGCTGAGGGGTCTGTAGGCCTAAGTACTTATTGAGAAAGCATGTACTATCACTCAAACAAAACTACCTTTAGCCTGAATGTCTTGAAGCAATATGGATTTTGTAAAACTAAAAAAAAGAATTGGATGATGAATCCCACCCTCTTCATCACATAGATCTAAGATCAGCTCGGCCAGGGCAAACTCTTTCCCTCGAAGTATGAACAGAAAGATATAGCTGTTAAAAACACACTTGCGCTTGAGAAATACTTTTAGATAATGATGACTTGTGTTAAATTGTTCTATTTAAAAAATTAGTGTTTTTAAAAAAAAACAAAAAAAAACATTTAGGCATGGACTGAAAATGAATATGTACACTATCATAAAAACACTTCCGTTTATTTGGATCAATAAAAACCTTATTTTACCATTTCCCCGTGAGATAATGATAGTACTATTTATTATTAGTATGGGGAGAGGAAAATGTAGGCCTTAATAATGACGTATGAATATGAAGTCAAAGTAGGTGTAGTTCTACATAAGCACGGCATCCTGGAAATATCGGGAAGGGAGGGGGAAGAAGAGAGGTTATAGGTGTTTAGTTTAGATCACCTTCGTTACAAAATAGCAGGCCGATGTTAAGCAAAATTTGAAACATTTATGCGGGGAGAGGGTCGGTGATGAAGGTTAGGGTTTAAGGTCTAATTTGCAACTCTGAAAGCGCAATTTTTTTAATAACACAAACATTGTCAAACGATCAAATCGATTATTTAAATAAAACGATACATATGAAGTAGTTGCCATAGTCATTACAAATAAAATGACCTTGACATAGCTCATCTACTTCCTATCGCTTAAGCTAAATATTAAATTTATAGTTAGTTAGCATCTTAGTAGAAGAGAAAATTATTTAATATAACAATATTATAATCCCACTTGATAAAATTAATCCTTTCATATAGTTTAAATGTTAAAGACCATTAAAGAGTGCTAGTGCATTATTAATATACTGAGAATTAGAAAAGTGGCGAATGGAGAGACTACTCTCAGGTGCTTTTTTATATAAATAAATAAAATAAAACAACGCTGGCTCATACTTTGATGATTCGGTAGCTCTACTACAAAAATGCATCATTTCTCAGGTTACCATTATTTACCTTTATGTTTATCAATATCTATTTAACATTAAATGTTTGTTTGAAAAACCGTAACGTTTAGGCTATTCCAAAATATTAAAATTAAGAATACAGGCTGTCGGGTCGCAGTCCAGTGTCTGTATAAGTATAATCTGCACTGTAGACTGTAGTGTAGCCGTAGCCAACACCAGGCACTGGCACCGAAACAATCTAAATTTAGTCTAAATCCCATCTACATGCATAGGAGACAGAATGATCAATAAATTGATTGTGGGCCTTTAATATTGGCCTATAGAATATTATAGAGGAAGAATTGAATAAGTTGAAGAAAGTCCTAACATTTTTTAGCAAAAAAGGATTTAACTAACTAAGGCTTATTAAGGACTAATTAGGCAAATAGGCCTTTTAACAATTTATTTTGATATTATCATAATTGAAAAAAATATTTATTAACATAATTATATTAACGAATTAAACAGTTAATGTTTAGTATAAATCTACCTTGCATTTTATATAATATATGGACTTTATCTAAATATACGGATGTATCTATTGTAACCTATGATAATTTATTTTTAACAAATTTGTAAAAAAAATATCCACAGGTGGTACAGTTTCTCGCATTCTGTCAGAATTCAAATTACATCAGTTTCCTCCATTCTTGTGGTCTGCTGTATCAGTCAGGTGGTTTGGTCAACCAGCTGCACAAACACATCCACATTTGATTGCTGAAGGGGAGGTCACACCTGGCATCACTAGGAAGGAGTTTCATAAACGCAGATGTAGACTTGTTGAATCAGCCGTCGAGGTTTTCAAGGGGGTCAAATCTGTCAAACACCACTTGTTTGTTTTCCCCTCAGCTACAACGGTGTATATGACCAATGATATTCCTTATCCTTTCAGACAAAACTCTGACTTCCTTTATTTCTGTGGATTTCAAGAACCAGATAGTGTTCTTTTAATTGAAGCTAATAGTAAATCTTCTTCAGGAGAGCATTTAGCACATTTATTTGTGCCACGAAAAGATGCTGCTAAAGAGCTGTGGGACGGACCACGATCTGGTGCAGAAGGAGCACTAATGCTTACAGGAGTGGATGGAGCTTTTAATTCCAATGAGCTGGAGAAATTTCTACAGTTGTATAATAAAGATCATAAAGATTACATTCTGTGGTACAATCATGCTAAACCATGCCATGAAGATTTTCATAATCGTGTAATTGGTCAAGTAATGCGGGATCAGAGACATAAATGTGTTGAAAATACAGCCCCTTTATCTCACAAACTTCGTGCAGTTAAGTCTGCAGCTGAAATTCAACTCATCCAGCAAAGTGTCAGCATAGCCTCTGAAGCTTTTGTAGAAGTCATGAAATTCTCCAAACCGCAAGTAAGAATTTGAGCCAAATTTAAGACTATTTCTAGCATTTATCTTTAAACATCATTTTGATTTTTTTAAAATGATTTTTTAATTTTGATATTTTGAAGGTAAATGAGGGCCATCTTTGGGCAAAGATGGATTTTGAATGTAGATTGAGAGGTGCAGAATTTTTAGCATACCCTCCTGTTGTTGCTGGTAAGTTTTATAAGATTTTTGTCTCCCACTGCTCAGATTTAGATTTAACTACTTTTGAGAAAAATACCTTTCTTTTTATTACAAAAATGTCAAAAGTCTTTAACTTTAACAACCTTTTAAAAAATACACTAAATAAATAAGTAATCAAATTCAACATTTGAAGCTGTGTTTTGTTGCATACATTTGATCACACTCATGGAAAAATCCTGAGAATACATGATGAAAAACAAAATGTTAAAATATACTTAGAAAAGGTATGAAAAAAATATGCAAAAAAGCGCAACATTTTATGTATTGACTAAATAAGGCTCTGCACAAAAAAAAAATGCTTTTCAAGAGCCAAGAAAATATGTTTTTTTCATTTTTAAAGTTTGATTTGCAATGTATCTTATTAACAATTTTGAATCATTTTATTTCAGGAGGTGCAAGGGCTAATGTGATACATTATATTACAAACAACCAGGTGATATCAGATGGAGAAATGGTTTTAATGGATGCTGGTTGTGAATTTCATGGTTATGCAAGTGACCTTACCCGTACATGGCCTGTAACAGGTAACTTACTTTTTGCTTATACAAGTGACCTTCCCAATACATGGCTAGTAACCAGTACTATGTACAACCAAGTGATAGCAGGGCTTCAGTGTGCTAGAAAAACTATTCAATGCGTCAATGTTATGGTATGTGATGTGTGTAGGCCTAAATTTAGCATTGTGGCCACCACCTTTTGTTTTCCCTTTGGTTTTGTTTTGAGATTGACGTCACCAATTAAATGTGCTGCGCAACTTCTTTTATCCATCCTCGCTTAATTGGGAAAAGGTTGTTTACGTTCAAATATGTTCTAACTGCTCTAAAGAATGCTATAAGGTGACGGAACTTCTAGAATTTACACTTCATGTGTGGGTGTGTGTGGGTGGGTGTAAATTAAGATTTGTATCTTTTGAAGACTGTATCTTTTCTCTTGATGTGCTATAAGTTGGTATAGTTTTTTTTTGTAACTGAATATTTGAATTTGTATTTTTATAGAAATTTACTAGTATAATTGAATTGAATATTGTTAGTATCACTAGCTTTTGTATCGTTTTTCTTTGTATACTCCTTTTCATTCCTTTGTTACCTATGGTTTATTTAATAAGCCAAATCTTAAAATGGATTAAGTTTTACAAAAAAACATAAATTATATGTATCAGTCAAGTAAATAAAGAATATGTTGCTCACAGCATTGCCTTTTTGGACATGTAATATAACTGCAATTTGATTTTAAATATAGAAACACTGATGTTGAGGCTAAAACAGAAATAATCATAAAGGATTATCAAAATAGATAAAATTTAACTGCTTTTTAGCCCCCCTACAACTATTTCAGATGTATTTGAGTGTAAAGAAAGTCGTAGGAAAGAAAATTAGATAATTCATTAAAGAAATTGCTTGTAAAATTCCTGAACATCTTGCTTACTTCAATAATTTCAGGGCATTTCAATGACGCTCAGAAAAAGTTGTACAATGCTACACTGAGGGTGCAGGACGCCTGTGTTCACATGTGCACCACAGACTACTCATTGGATGAGATCTACAATGAAATGTTATTTCTGCTCACTGCTGAACTGAATCAGCTTGGGATAATACCCCCTTCTTTTTCACAAGAACAAAAAATGCAGGTGAGCTTCCATGTCCACTTCCATTTCACACTGAACAGACTCTCTAATAGTAACTAATTGGATCTAATGCATCAACACATTCACATCATTGCCACCTCCCCTGCTCTGTATTTATACTCTTGTTAGTGTTGGAGCTTGGGCTCTCAATTTGCTCTCCCTTTATGTTGCTAAGTACTAACTGTGTGAACATGTCACTAGATGACCAGAAGGTTCTGCCCACATCATGTTGGCCATTACCTGGGCATGGATGTACATGATACCAGTCTTGTGTCCAGGCAAATAAAGCTGCAGCCAAACATGGTCGTCACTGTCGAGCCAGGTTAGACAATTTACTAGTGATTTTTAACTTATAAGCCGAGGTACATATTAGAATTCACGCGTGTATAGCATTTTGAAAGTCATACTTGACATGAAATTGAGTTTTATCTAATAAAAAGGTGTCTTATAGAAACAGATAATGAAATCTTTTCCAATTGATTTCTAATTTAAATTTTCTTAGATTGTATTGCAGCTGCATTGAAGAAAGCCCTCTCTATTTGGTTTAAATTATTTTACAGGTCTCTACATCCCTCAAAACGATATGACTGTCAGTTCAGAGTTTCGTGGTCTTGGGATCAGAATAGAAGACAATGTTTTAGTCACAGAATCCAAACCCATCAATATGTCTGCGTCTTGTCCTAAACGAGTTGATGACATTGAAGACTTGATGTCTAAAAGTAAAAGATGAGCCACCTTTACAAATGTGGTTCCTGTCCATTTAGCAATTTTTTTAAAAGAAATCTCTTTTTAAAAATTCAGGCTGCAATTAATGTAGATGTGATATATCATTATGTAGATCTGATATATCATTATGTAGAAGTGATATATCATTTTAAGCATGAACGTTTATGGAGGTTATCATCTGCAGCTTCTGATTGTTTACAATCTTCTTGGGCACAGTGAAATGTAACATCTGTACTTTTGTTTGTGCAATTATCAAACTATGTAAATAACCAGTTTGAAACATTTAGAGCTTTTTTTTTTTTAAAGGAACCTTCTTTTGAAGATGCTGTTGTCCCAGTACAGTAAAGAGACCACATGGTCCATTAGTTAACACGTGAAGAGCATGCATGGTCAACAAGTAGCCAATCATATGAGCTTGTTTTATTTCCGATAAACTAGTTTGAGCTCAAGCTTTTGGGGACCGCCGTTACCTTGGATTTTATCCACTTGGTTAGTCAATCCCTATTATCAAGTCCATGTAATTTGTTGCCATATTTTAACATACAACATAGATGCACTTTATAATTTTAATAAATTAACAAATACCTTTCAAGATCATAAATATGTTTATTTTTTTAAAAATAAACAAACAAATGTTTAAAGATAACATTTTTTTTTCAATTTTGATAATATTCAACACCATATGATAAATGATGATAATGAAAGACTGGATGAATGAAATGATAGGAAGGGGGCTGTACAGTAAGTAGCATGATGAGGAAAGGGGGGGGGGGGAATATACAAGAGAATAACAAATATCAGGATGGCATTACTTACAAGTGAGAAAATATTAATGTTTAACTTTATGTTCTTTATATCAATTATCTTTACCTAAATAACACAAACATTTAGTAATAGACCAGTTGAAACCAACTGATCCAACAGTTTAACAAGTGAAAGCCAAAATATTTTACCCCAGTTTTTTTTATGAGGGCTATACTAATGGCACCATAAAGGCTTTTGTTGTGGTTACAAGAAATTAAGGTGAATTGGTAAATGTATCTTTAAAAAAAAAAACGAAACTAGTATGTGAATGGAAATAATTTTACCACAGATTTATAGTATATACAGATGCACAATAGTTATGCATCTTCTGTATTCTTCATCAATACTGCTTAATATTTATACAATATATTCTCAAGTGAACAGAACCATATCAAAGACACAAGTTGGCAAAAATAGCATTCATCCCAAACAACCAATAAGACCGGATAGTAACGAATTATCAGAACAACTAACAGGAACTATGTGGATTTTAAAATCAGCCCTGTAGGTGTAAGAAGAGACAAAATGATTCCAGGCTAATTGAAATCCCCATTTCTAAGAAATAACATTTAATCTTGTCCATAGTTTCAGATTCCACCTCACACACTAACAAACTATTGTGCATAAAATCTTGTTCAAATTTTTGATAGAATCCCCAGACATTGTCCCTATTATGTCAGGATTGTAGGAATGAAGTCAATATGGGAAAAATGAACAAATTAAACCAGACACACGCCATTATCCCCTACCACAACCTTAAAACAAATGTATGTGTGAGCCACATGTCTCAACAATGTAGTAACAAAAATAGGTGTTTGTTTTGTTAACAAATCACTTTTGAAAAGAATGTTCATGTTTTGTACTTTAGGGGAATACTATTTCCATATTCATGTTTCAGTTTCAACATCTATGCTAATTTTCTAATTGCATTAAGCTGCACATTCTTTGTTAAAACTGTTTCTCTCTTATAGAGTTGACACTTGTATAAACACGGGCAAGTTTCATCAAAAATATGTCATTGAAACCATTTCACACTTGAGCTAACCAAAATATACAACAAAATGTAGCCTAAATGCTTTTTGAGTGAAGAAATTAGCTGTAGCTGTTATTTATAATTTATGCAAAAAACAAATTCTAGTGCCAAGATATAATATCTGTGGCACTCTTTGTGGCCAAAGATCTGAAAGAAGGTGAAGCTCACATACAACATGTGAAAGCACTGCTTCAAATAGTCTTGTACTAATGTAAGGCACAACAAAGCTTTCAAAGGGCAAATGACATTGTTGAAACCCAATATTAAAAACAAAAATATACATCTCCCACAAAGTTTTAAAGAACAAATTCAATCAAACATGGTTCATATTATGGGTATTTTAATGTGCACATACATACATGGCTGTATTTTTAACTCATCAATGCAAATACAATTTCAAAACAAAATTATGTAATGACACAATTTCACATGTGAAAAACACCATATGAGGGGGATTCATTGACATGCTGGCATCACATGTTCATAACAATAAATGGTTGAACCTTTTGTCACAAAGTCCAACCCAAGTTCACCTACAGGAATCAATGGCAACGAATCAATGGCAACAACTGTTGCCATCACACTAAACACTGGAACAAAGAGTTTTAAAAAGAAAAAGAAGCAATGTCAGATTATTGGCAAACCTTTATGTAGACTCGTATATTTTTTTTTTTTTTATTATTCTATACAGGTAAACATTTCCTCTAAAAATAGAAATATCTTAATTCATGGAAAAGTCATTAACCACCACTCATATTTCAAATTGTTAGCGTAAAGTTTGCAAATGCAGTAGTTAACATGCNCCCCCACTAAATATTTACACAGAGCCAAGAAGGACGTGAACTATGCCATGCAATCATGCTGAGGAACAACAACATTGCTGCTTATCTGGCCATGAGTAGAATCATAAACAATAGCAAGAGATTGTAGAATAAGTTAACATCCGGGCAACATTTTTCAAATGAAAGAGTCAATGATTATGAATGATATACTAGTATTATGGCTGTTTTATTGTTGTTTTTTCTCTTTGGACACTTCACTATGACAGTTCATTATGTCTAGTGAAAAGAAAGCCAAAAACTTATCTGCAAGACACAAAGTTTCATCTTATTATCTACTATAAAGCACTATGAAAAGATTCTGATGGTTTTAATGTTCTGTTAATAAATTTTATTCCTCCAAAGAAAAGGATGATGGCAAAGCATCCCCCCCCCCCCACCCCAAAAAAACCCACAAAAAAAACTTATCTTGTAACCATAAATAAATTTTTAAAAATATTTGGCCAACACAGCTAGATTTAACAATCTCATGATGAACTTCTATATTCTGATGGTTTTAATGTTCTGTTAATAAATTTTATTCCTCCAAAGAAAAGGATGATGGCAAAGCATCCCCCCCCCACCCCAAAAAAACCCACAAAAAAAACTTATCTTGTAACCATAAATAAATTTTTAAAAATATTTGGCCAACACAGCTAGATTTAACAATCTCATGATGAACTTCTAAACAGATTAAGGTGATCAAAAAGGAAACACCTAACTTGTGTAGAGACATTGTGTAGAGAAATGTGTATAAATCAAGGCAAAATTTTCAAATAAATGTTGAAATCGGATGAACAATAAAATAAAAATAAAGCCGAAGATATAGGCACTTGTAACAGCAGATGATCAAGGACAATGTCAAGGACACTTTTATTTTAAAAGATAAGAATTTCCTCCCCCCAAAAGGACTGGATTTTTCAATGAACAAAGATTTAACTTTATTTATTGAAATCCCTCTTTAATAAATCTGGTGAAGAAAAATAAAATTACCATCAAGTCTCAATTCATTGAATTAAGCCATCAGTAAGTTTTTAAAATTGTATTTTTTTTTTTTTTTTTTTTTTTTTTTTTTTTTTTTATTTTTTTAAATTTTTTTTTTTTTTTTTTTTTTTTTTTTTTTTTTTTTTTGGGGAGAAATTTGTAAAGGAATAATAAAATAATAACTACTATAATATTTGGCACAACTAGATCATCTGGCAGTAACTACTTAAAAACATCTAGCACACCAACGGCACTACAAACTTAACATGTGGCATTACTAGTCTAACATCTGCTGACTACTTTAACCTCTGAACATGAAGTGAAGATGATTTAATCAGCTTTCTGATTGATCACTTTTGCTCTTTGGGGAAGCCACAGGCAAGCATCAGGTAATTTCATCTTAATAAAAACCAATTCATTCCGACACCAAAAAACATTTGAGGTCCAAAGTATTTCAACAGATATGGTTAGGTTAGAACATGTAACTCTCTCAGGAGTGATATGTCCTTTCTTTTTGACCACACAATGGAATGCACCTTTTCCTTTGGAAAAAATATGAAGCAGGAAAGATTGACTGAATGTATGAACATGCATGAATGTACGCAAACAAGATTTCAAATCTGTACAACAACAAAAAAAACAAAAAAACAAATCGTATGGAATTCTGAAGATGTGGCAATGACATTGAAGAGAAAACTTTGACCACTTAGTTTCTACCTACAATTATGTTAGGGCCAAGTGAACATTTCTAAGAAGTTAACAAATTTGCGTTAACTTTTGCAAAGAGTGTGTTTAGTTTATTTTTATTTAAAAATGTGAAGCATTACAGTGGATCACTCTCTGAAATATCAAAGTTATATCTGAAATGTGTACTTTTTTTTTTTGAGTTTGAACCTGAGCCGAAACCTTGTGCAGTACTGATGTCTTTAGGATCAGAAACATTTTTTTAGAAATTTAAAAAATATTCAAGAGACTGGCACAAAATGTAAATGCTGCCCCTAAAATTGACAGCTAATTTTGAAGACATGGATAGCTACCATATGAGTACATAATGTGGAATATCTGAGACCGAGACTCAACAGAGTAACTTATTTCCTATTAGATGAAACACAAACTAAATTATTTCTAATAAAATCAGAGTAGTCTGTTGTAACTGGACTTTCTCTTCTTAACAGCCTACAAATATTTTCTTAACAGCTTACCATTTATGCATGTTCACTTTCCTATTACCCTAAAGATCCCTTCAAAGTTTGACTTTCACCACGTGATGTATTTAATGGGAACAAAAAAGTTAAAAATTTCTAGGCATTTGCTGAGTAGCTGCAAGAGTAACTATTTGATGACACTAAATGTAGCTGAATTATGTTGTAATTTGGCAAGTTTTTCTGGTCAACATTTAACAAAATCAAAGGGAAAAAAAAATAATTTCTTCTTAAAATGCATGTTCAACATTTGAGTGTCAACTAACCTCAATCAACAAATCCAAAATTCATTATCATAAAAAACACATTGGATAAATTGAGAATACCTGCAAAGATTGAACAAATTACTGGGTATGTCTTTGGAGAGAAAAATAACTTATAAAACTACCAAAATTTATTCCATAAAAGAATGAACATAACATGTCAAGGAAAAAAATGAACAGAAAAACTTTTTGTGGTTAAGACTAAGCCTTACTGTTAAATCTCCATACATTATGAAAACGTAGTAATTAAAATTGAACTTTAAATAAGTATCAAGACTTCCAGGTAAATGAAAAAATAATCCTTTTAAAAAATAAACCGTACAGCAGTCAAAGCATGGGGATGCAACCATTTTTGGATGCAAACACATTTTCAGATCTTTCCCTTTGATAAATCTAGTAACAGTTACACAGAATCTGCCAGACAGGTTCTCACATACAGTACACACAATGACTGTGGAGTTAGTACTGACCCACAGAGTGTCTATTGCTTAGATTTCATAGATCTTAGTCTGCAGAGACCTGCTACACTGATATATCTCGCT